TAAGTAGTGTGTGTGTGTGTGTGTGTGTGTGTGTGTGTGTGTGTGTGTGTGTGTGTGTAAGTGGTTGGTGGCACAATGCATCAAATGTGGGCTTTGATTAATGGGGCCATTAATCATTTTCAGTCTGGGCTCAGTGGTCTCAGCTCACTCTAAATCAGCCACAAATCCATTATCCTATCATTCAATCTATGGTAATTTACAGTGTGCACCATAAAAAAATAAACAAGTTTATTGTATTATTACCTATATATTTTTTCACAGCAAAGTATTTTTAAAGAAACAATGGTAAGTGTTTATTTCTTAATGACACCAACTGTATGTTCAAGGATGGATAGAATTTAACCAGTGTAGGCTTTCCTTTTGCAGATAGTTGGTACAAATGTTGGTTGATATTGCCCAGATGCTATTTTTATTATCTATCAAGCACCTTCAGTGTATTTACTGCTGTGCAGTATGTAGAGATATACATAGCGCCAGCGAACTTAATAATCTAAGATCCTGCAGATAATAGTGGATGGGTGGAATTCTGAGCCTGCGCAGAACCCTATAATAGTCAATGGGGCTTCATGCATGTGCAGCAGTCCACTTACATGCCATCAGTTGCAAGATCAGGGCCCAAATAAGACAGGCAATGTAGTTAAAAACAAACAACAACAGGACCTAAATTTTCAAAAGTGACTAGTGATTCTGGGTGCCTGAGTTTTTGGATGCCCAATGTAAGAAACCTCAAAGGGACTGATTTTAAGAGGGGGATGGTACTTAGCATTATCTGATCATCGGGACTATTTGAAGTGGGAAACTCCAAAACTGAGTCATCTAAAACACCAGTCATTTGAAAATTTATGTCCACGTGACCATGTGAAGGTCAAAATTTCAAAGCAGTTCCAGCATGGCGTGTTTGCTTGTTTTTTAATTTAACAAATTTGTAGGTGGATTATGCCATTGAGAGGTAGGGAGAGAAGCACATCAACTGCTGGCATGTCGGAGTGTGATTGTTATCAGTACTTGGCCCATACAAGCACAAGTAATGACCTCCTAAGCATTTGTGTACAGAAGTTGAAAGTACAACAAAGACATTCTCATATCCCCAGCCACTATTTCATGCTGTTGCTGATCACCATGTTTTGGAAGACAGAGAGTTGTTTGGAAAATCAAGTTGTCTGTCTGAATTTAGCAGACACACTTTGAGTACAGTAAATATAAACAGAGAAATTATGCAAAACTAATTATGAATTTATGCATCTGCTGAAAAAGATTTCCTTTGAGATTTTTTTCAACATTATTGGAACAGATGCGGAAAATAACTCCTTCCCCCACATTCCCTGGAGTCTTCAGGAGAAGAGGCCAAAGCTTTATTCCTGGGAAGTTAAATTCCAAATTAAAATAACTCTAGTTTGTCTTAACAATTGAATGATTACTTTTACTAGACAGACTGGATGTTGTGATATTTCAGAAAAGCCTTATATGTGGCTCATCTATAATTCTTGTACCCTTCAGGCGGGTCACATTTCTTATTTGAATGATCAGCTCCCTCCTTAAATAGTTATTAGAAACACTTTTTTATTTAATAAATGTATTTTTTCTCCAACCAAGAAGATTAATTATTATTTTAGGAACAGAATAACAAAAGGAGATTTGACCATTCAGTGCAACTTGCAGATGATATCTATGTGTAGTCTGTACAGCAGGGAGAGATTTTTTTACTTGGAATGTGTCGTCTTTTAAAATCCAGCTGTCGTGTCATCATTACAATCTAGGTCTGAATATAGGAACACTTTAATTGTTCAAAGGTTCGTGTGCATCATATCACTAAAGCTGGGGGGAAATTCTGGCCTCACTGAAATCAAGGGCAAAACTTCCATTGACTTTAGTGGGACCAGGATTTCATCCTCTTCCTAGATGATATGGATAAACCTTAATACATACCATTTAGTTACAATTTCTGTCACTCATTCATTATCCAATATGCTGTCACTACTGCCATTTTTCAGATTGGCCAGTAGAGACAGCTTCAGAATGGATGGCCTGTAACTGTCTGCAAAGATCAAACACAATTTATCCATAACGTATTGAACTTTTCCTGCTTTAGGGAGCAGAAACCTAGATTGTTTAAAGATTGAGGCCTTCAGCATGGAGCATACAATTTTTTTTTCTGCAGAGAGGGTATTTTAGGCAAACCTTTTGACATACTATACAGAAAAGCAAATAATAGTTTTCTTTAAAACCATGTTCCCCATGTATACAGCCCAGAATAATTTGATTTGATCAGAGTTCAGCCGGAAATGGTACCCAATAGTACACCATGCCCACATTCCTTTTGTAGCCCCCTCAGTTTGTGAAGAATTTAAACTTTTTTTTAAATAAAAAATTTCTAGTGCACAAGGCTGTCCAGAGAGCCTTCCAAAAGGGATATAGCGCTCTCTGCCTGCGTGTGCAAATAGCTTAAAACGATGGCCCTGAGAGATGTGAACTGCCCTCATCCATCCTACTGAGTTGTTGACCCTGAAATCTAATGATGGCATTGCAAATATCTACATTTTTAACTATGTCAGTGGCTAGTCATTTTAGAAACATTCCAGTCTAACCTTCTGGGATTGTGGATAGAAGCTGAGTAAAAGCACGAGCACGTTTTAATCTAGTCTGACTCCTGGACTTGATCCAAAAAGGTGACCTGATTTATAGCAACCTGATATAAAGGTTATTCATGTAAATCATGTAGGACATCACAAATAACTTATAAATGAGCAGCCTCACACACAAGCCATTCTTTTTCTAATGTGCATTTGCTTACCCAGTTTCCAGTCTTCTCCCTTCTATCTAGAAGTTTTTGCTGTAAGGATTCTCCTAGGCCTCCTGCAACTCCAAATCGTTCTACTATGGCCTTGGTCTTCCTAAATTGCTCCTCTGGAATCAAGTGTTTCACGCATTGTAGGTACATGTGCAAGGTCTGTTGCAGTGGAGGCACTGGAAGCTTGGGCAGTGTCTAATCATAAAAAGATGGAGCAGTAAATAATTTTATGCATTTGTAGTATTTCTTTGGTTTTGGTTGAGTTACAACAGATGATGTGAATATTTTAGAGGAATATATAGGTTTGGATTGGATCTTGGTTTTGAGATGTTATTATCTGAGACCAAGCCCATACTCCTAGCTTTGCCCAAATGTCATTTCTATCACACATTTTTTTGCGCTAAGTGCTATAGAAATAGCATGAAAATGTTTTTTCTTCTTTGTATTAGAAAGATGAGCCAGATGAAGGCAATGCTTAAAGAAATCTCCCAGGAAGAGGTAAAGTTCTCTTTAAGGGAAGCCTTCCTGATGGCACTGGAATCTTACCAAGTTTATCTGAAAAGATGCAGAGTTTCCTTTGGAATTAGTTGGTGCTGTCTTCAACATGCAGACTGATTTTCAGGGATACATGCACAGAGCTTTTCTTTTAGGGCGACTAAAAGGGGAAATATTGGAGGACCACATGACCTGTTTCTCTAGAAAAGGTTTCCGCCACCTTAAGAAAACTTCCCTTTTGGACCCCTTTAATTCTCCTGGGGAGATTCCTTTAGTAGCTACTGTCTATGTCTGGCTCATCTTTCTAATAAATCTGCATGCCATGTGCAGTATCAATGAATTCCAATGGGATCCTTGTATATTTTACATTAGCGGTATCTCGTAGCAGTTGTTGTTTTGAACATTGTGGGTGTAACTGCGTCACTTTAGTGGAATTGGATCAGTGATGATGTTGACCCAAGATAACTTGGGTGTGTAAGATCTCTGATGAAGAGCATAGTTAGTTGTCTATGCAATAATGAACCAATGGTGGCTCTCAAACAGCATTCCTTAGTGTTCTCATGCATTACTTTTGGACATTATCACTTTGTTTTATAAGTTGGAATTAAGCCAAACAAATATGAGCTTTCATTAAAAATAAAAAGAGCAGAGAAGTATGGTGGAGGGGACAAATAAAGTGGAGATCCATGGAAGGATGGAAAAATATGAAGGATTTTGAGTCTATCAGAAAGCACAATTGTAGTTCCCAGAAAGGTGTACGATGGCCTCAGAGTCCTGAAATTGATTTTCACCTAGTGAAACCATCCATACTCACCCATTAGTATTTCTCATACAATGGGATGTTTGTGTGGATCAGTTCTTATAATAGCTATTCATTCTTTTGTTTTGGCTTTCATCTGAGCATATCCCCATCTCTAAAATGGAGATAATACTTAGCTACCCATGAAACATGTGATGGGATGAATTAATTGATGAAGATGAAGGGCCAGTTCAGCCTGTAATGCATCTATATACATCATAAGTGAAAAAGTAATTAAGCGGTCTCACTGTGATTTTTGTCCATTTGGTGCACAATACAGGCATACAACCTCCTTTGGAATTTATTTGAGCAGTTCAGTGGTAATGGGCATGGAAATGTTTATGTCCTGATGATGTTAGATACTCTGGTTCCATCGTGTTTTGTCCAAGTAACATTGCTGTTAGTTCCACGTCTTTACTAAGGCCAAAAGTTTCACACTTGATGGACTTAGGTAACTAATTTTGGGCATACTCATCTGAATTTCTGGCCTAAGCTCCCTAAATCAATGCATTAACTCTTTAATATTTTTCATATTTCATCTGTCTCACAGACGAGTTGTATGTGAAACTGATAGGTGGCCTGTAGTAAGAAATTAACATTGGCCATTTCAGACTTTGTTGTAAAGAATCTGCTCTATTTTTTGTTGTTGGTCTCTGTTTCTCCATCTGTAGAATGTGGATAATAATACATAACTACCTAGTAATGCTCACAGGGGCCTGGTGAGGATGAATTGTTTGCACTTTGAATACGAAAAGTGCTAAGACTAGTTTAAGGTCTTGATACTAGACTGTTGCAAGTGATCATTGTTTTCCAAAAATCAAGAAACGAGGTCAGGAATAGTGTTTGTATTTACCACTGAGTTTCACTGATAACACTGCTCCTATTGATAATAATTAAAAATCATCTTTCTTTAATCCAACTCTGTTTTATTTTTGTCCAAAAACAGTCACTTACTGTCTCATCTTTGCTGCATGCACCTTTTTCCTTCTGTGTGGGTTTCTCTAGCACAGGCATCCTTGCATTTCTTTTGATATCTTTTACTGAGGCCAGAAATTGAAGCCAGTTGGGGGCACTTACAGAACAGCACACCTCGGTTCTGGAAATGGAAAAGATTTAAAGCCAAGTAGGTGACAGTTATTACCAAAATGTGCACAATAGATAGTGTTCCCTTTGCAAACATACACTGAAGCTTAAGAATGCAAAACTGAAGAGAAACAGAACTACAATATCTAAAGTAAACTGAATCGAATCCTTTGGATATTACTTTGTCATTCAATTTGTTGCATTTCTCTATAAATTCATTTTTATAGAAATATCCCATGCACGTAACGGGTTCTCTTTTGCCAGGTTTGATGCGCTTTATTTTGTCGGTCTAATTTGCTTCGGAGTATGTCACCCCATTTCAGAGTTAGGCCTGGTCTGCAGACAACTTTTGTACTAATATAACTATGTCAGTCAGGGGTGTGACTTTTTGCTGACATAGTTATATCAGTACAACCCCTACTGAGGATGCAGTTATGCCAGTATATTCTATCCAAGGTACTTCCAGAGCCCCTGTTACCACAGTATCAGAGCACCTCACACTCTTTTAATGTGTTTTTCCTCACAACACACCTGTGTGAGGTAAGTAAGTGTCAAGTGACTTGCCTAAGGTTACAGAGGAAGTCTGTGGCAGAGCGGGAAATTGAACCTCCTGAGCCCCGAGTGAGTGCCCTAACCATTGGACCATCCTTTCTTTTACCTGTGACACAGCCTTATACCAGTATAGCTTGTTCTCCTTCCCATTCAGGAATAAACTATGCTAATATAAGCAGATATATTGGTATAGCTGCATCCACATTAGTGGATTGGGCTGCTTTAGCTATAGTGGTATAGTTAAGGTAGTCCAACTTTTGTGTGCAGACAGGCCCAGATGCTTCCTCTCAATTCAGGTGTCACTGACATTTTCAAAGCTGCTGCTCAGCAGCTGCCAAACCTGGTAGGCACCTAAATCCCTTGGACACCTAGACTTCTGCCAGCCAGCATTTGCAAAGCTGCCTAAACTCTGATGCCACCCCACAAGTAAAATAAATAGATGTTGATCAAGTAGATAGAGAACTTTCAATGTTTATAAAATACTTGTGACTATACAAATGCAAGGTAGTGGCATTATTGCTACAATGGGGTTTTAAAAGAATTGGTAGGAGAATTTTTGTGTATGAAAGTGAGGGGTGAATAACTGGGCATGGGGTTATTTCCCTCACACAGATCTATGCAAGGGAAATTTAGTTTAGATGGTAGGAAAAACTTTCCAGCTCTAAGGATAGTTAAGCTCTCGAATGGGCTTCCAAGGGAGGTTGTGGAATCCCCATCACTGGAGGTTTTTAAGATCAGGTTAGACAACCCCCTGTCAGGGATGGTCTAGGTTTACTTGGTCCTGTTTCAGCGCAAGGGGCTGGACCTGATGACCTGTTGAGGTCCCGATGGTTCTATGTCATCTTTGCTATTCCAGTCTTTTGGCCTCTGCACAGCTCTGCCAAAAAAGTGTCATTTGCATCCTTTTCTGTGATTCCAGTCGAGAGCCTTTGCTGAACAGACTGACACGTGTGCCGTATTGTGAGATAGGTTTTAAAACACTGGTGGATCTCTACAGGGCACTGGAATGAAGCATATCAAACTCTTTTTGATCTGTGATGTGCTTTATCATAGATATTATGATTTGAAAGGCTGCATTAACCCACAGTACCACTCAGCTCCCTAGTATTTGCGAACCATTAAGCGAACAACATAAACTCGAAAAACAAAAGAATTTAAACTTTCTGTAATGCTCACTGAAGTCTGTGGCGTGTGAAACTGTGATGCCTTAGTTCTCTGTGTACTGCCTTTAAATTCGTAAAAACCTATGTTCAAAGACAGAGCAGCCAGTTTATCTTTGAAACTGCCGCAGCCTGTGCTGAGGATGTACACACGTGGTGCTCTTGCAGATAGACTTTCCTTCTTTCCTTATTGTTTCCTTTAAGTTGAAATAAATGTCATGCAATCTCAAAGTACATGTTTGTTCTTTGTCTGTGGAAAAATCTAGCAAAGGCAAAGCCCCTGGGGTTAATAAAATCATAGAATCATAGAAATGTATGGCTCGAAGGGACCTCAGGTCATCAAGTCCAGTCCCCTACACTGAGGCAGGACTAAGTCAATGTAGATCATCCCTGACAGTTGTTTGTCCTACCTGTTCTTAAAAACCTCCTGTGATGGGAATTCCACAACCTCCCTTGGAAGCCTGTTCTAGTGCTTAACTACCCTTAGAGTTAGAAAGTTATTTCTAATATTTAAACTAAAACTCTCTTGCTGCAGATTAAGCGCATTACTTCTTGTCCTTCCTTCAGTGGACATGAAGAACAATATGTATCATGTACAAGGACTTGGAGTAATATGGGAAAGCTGACACTGTAGTTGCTTTTGTTTTGTCTCTTCTGTGGATAGAGTTTCACTTTCAGTCGCAAATGCTGTCAATCTAGCATCTCTCACAAATCCTGACTTCACTTAAATGTTGTTGTACATAGAAGACAAATGTTGCCCCTAATGATGGAAAATCCCAGAGAAAAGCAAGATGACTTTATAGTTACTCTCTCTGATTGAAAGGAACATTGTCAAAGTTATTGGACCAAAAATTAATTTTCATGTCTTTGATTATGGGTGGCTGAAGTACACTCACACTGTTCCTTCAGTTAACTCCATGTTTTTCAGCAGGATGCTGACATTTGCAGGAATCATGTAGTGTTCGTTCATCGTACTTCAAAACAGCAGCAAAAATCCACAACAGAGAGGACTGACATCTTCTTTAGCAGATAACAGAGAAAGACTGAGCCATCTAATCCACTTATTTGGATTTGTTTCCAACTCATTATTGGAGTCAATAGATAAGATTTAGCTATCAGTTAAAATTACTTCTTGCAATTTATACTGTAGTGGTAGTTTTACACAAGCAGCTCACAACCAATCATGCTTAGTCTCTTTGTTATCAAGAGTATGCACTTTGAGCTATGCATTACTATGGCTTGTTAAATGTTTGGAAAGGCTAAAGTCAGGGCTATTTAATGCCTAATTTAAGTCTCAGCCAGTCATATGGCCATTGCTTGATATATGATGACTAGTACGAAATCACAATTAAATCTTTTGCTCTTCTTTTTCATATTAGACTTCTTTAACTATTTCATGTGGTGGAAGGGTATATAAGTACTGGGATGAAATTATGAAGGGGAACATTTAGGCACCATGTTAGGAGAAATTGAAGAGTGAAGTCGTTAAGCTTTCATCCCTTGAGACATTTATAGCTACATTGCAAGAAATAGTACACAAGGCAGGCAACAATCCTGGATTTGCTATGAGATAGATCAAGTTGACCCAGTAGGTCTTTTACAATGTGTCTCAATGAGCAATGGGCCTGATCCCTCAATATGCCAAGTGTCTCTTACAAGGTCCTGATCCACTTTAACTCCCAATGACCTCAATGGGGATTGAGGGCTTTCAGCACTTTGTGAGAGACCCTCAGCACTCCTAGGCCCTGTTTTCTATGCGTGCTAACCAGGCCTCTCAAGGGTTGCGCAGCCAGGCCCAGGGTATGCCAGATGAACAACTCCAGGATCCGCGAAGTCAGCTGGGGAGGGGAAAGACGACTTCGAGGGCTATAGCCCGTGGGTGGAATACCTACCCACGACGGAATGAGAGCTACTAGTGCGAACCCAGCATCTAACCTTCCTCTCTGGCACTGTTGGGTGGGATCCCGACAAGCTGCCCAGCCCCACCGCTGGGCTGGGGAAGGCAGTGGGGCAAACAGCAAATTTGCCGCTGCCCGAGAGCAAGCGAGAGAGGGAATATTGGCTAGGGGGTAGGCGCACAGAGGAGGCATTGGAAGGTCTCCGCACAAAGGCCTCAATCCCTTGGACAGCACAGGGCGGAGAGCTCTGTGCCTCGGGCTGCTGCAGAGGGCTGCGTGCTGGGCTGGGCTCCAGGGCAGGGGGCGGTGCGGGTGAGGGGTGCGGGCTCCCGCAGGGGGCACTGGAAGGGGGAGCGGGTGACCGCTCCGGGTTACAGGGCGGAGGGCCGCTCCAGCTGATCAGCCCGCTCTCTCTGCGCGGCGCTGAGCCCC